GCCATTCGCCGAAGATGCATGCTTGGACCAAAATGACAAAATCTGGAGCCAAATTCCTAGATTGTCCGCAGGGAGAATTCATTACAGTCGCCGCTGGATTTTTTGGACTCCAAAAACTTGGACTTGTTGAATATTTCGGAATTCACAAATGCACCACCAAGGTTCCCATTGCACTAATGCATTTTCGCGGCCAAATTTTTGTACGAATTTATGCACCAAAGCTCGATTTTCCAGGCTTAATCGGCCGTTTTGAGCTATGCTGCTCGATTTTGAAAGCTTCCACGTTGGATTTTTTGTTTCATTGGTCGAGTTTGGCTTGCAGTGGCTAGTTGTGTGGCCTCTTAAGATTGAAAGCGTGCACTGGCACGCACAATCTTACAGTTTCGGAGGCCATGTCCAATCTTTCTTGGCTAATCATAATGTAGTGCACCGCAAAAAACAGACACCAAACGAGCCAGAGAACGAGGACATGGCACATTGACTTGTTCCAACTTGCCCAACAAGCAACGTTGATAAGTTATATTTCCTGGCTTGCAAAACTGCAAACCTTTTCTTTTTCAGTGAGCCTTATCATCATCATTAATAAGCTAGTAGGTTGTTTGGGCATTTGTTTTAAGGGCGGAACTCCTTAAGGTGTGAGTGTACATACCCGCTCTAGAGCGGGTATGTGCCACAGGGGATGAGAGATGGCAGTACAGTAGAGTCTCGATGATACAAATTTGAAGGGAGTGCGTAAAATATTCGTATCAGCCCAAATTCGTATCAACCAAAAACAACTTGAAGCTTATAAAAATGATGAACAAGAACTTCATTGGCGACTACACCTTGCTGAAAAAAGTCTGATGTAACTTTCCTGCCTTCACGGACTCTTAATTAAGTGCCGCGGTTTCCTTGCTCATGCTGCTGGCGTAGCGCGTTCACAGTTGACAGAGCGAGCGAAAGCGGCCTAACTCATTGGAAATTCACTCGCTCCTCGCTTGAGCAGCCGGAAAACCGCGCCACGAAATCGACACGAAAAATAATGTGTCCTGGAGAATTCTCATTGGAGAATTCAAGCGAAAATGCCAGCACGGCCCGAAAACCCCGTCTGCGCCAGTCGAAAACGTTTACATTCGTTCTGCCCCTCGTATACATGCCACCCCCATCGCCGCCATCGCCACTTGAGAATTTATTTCATTTTGCCCATTTTCTGAGCACTGAAGTTGTGCGAAGTTATAATTATGCATACAAGGCACTGAAAAGAAACAGTTTACACCTTTACTAGCGTCATTTCGGAAAACATGCCAGTCAAAATGACACAAGCTTACACAGCGCCGGCGGGGCGGATTCAGCCGGCAGTGCAAAAGCAAGACACGTTCGGGCAAGCCGACTCGCTGCTGCTGCACCTTCTTCTTTTTCCGGTGTTATGAGCGATCGTAATCCAAACCAGGCTCTCGACAACTGCGTCCTTGTCAAGGTCACAAGCTTTGATGCGCTGCTTAACTTTATGGCCGCGCGGGTAGTTCGTGATAGCGCCGACGTGACATACCGTCGATACCTTCACCGCCAGGTCGATTTGCAGCTAGTTGTTGACATCACGTGGTTTGAGAGATACAGTGTTAGAGCAGCCAATGAAGAAAAAGCCGTGAAGTAAAAAGGCGATACTATGCTACTGCATCGCGAGAAAATTGTTCTCGGGCCGATTTTGTCGCGTCGGCCTCACGGCCTGTTTTTGCCGCGTTGCGCTGCTGGCATGCAGCGGCCAATCGCACATTCGTATTATCCGCCGTGGCTGGGGAAACCATTTGTATTACACCGAATCACGGTGTATCTTATATAATGTAGTCCATCCAAAACAACCTTAACATTTCGTACTATCGCGATATTGCCATCAACCGTAATCGTATCAACGATTCTACTGTACTTGGAGTGTTCACTAGATGCACACACGGACAGAAGCACGGACAGACGCACGGACGGACGCACGGACGTAGGGGTGGATTGACGCATGAACGGACAGACGGACGCATGGATGGATGCACGGATGGTCGCGTGGACGGACGGAAGCAAGAACGAACGGACGTGTGAAAGCACGGATGGGCTGACAGACGCTTCGCCACACTGATCAACATTGACTTCATTGATACTCTGCGATTTTTTTCTGGTTGTCATTCCACATGTGGTCGTGGTATTGGTGTGCTGAATTAGCTTGAGCCGTCGTGCCCGACCCATGCTCGCTGCTTTTCGCAGTGGCTCATTAGCACTACGTGATCACAGTGGTAGAATACTCCTAGAACACACGGGTTCAATTGCAGCCATGGTGGTAGCGTTTTGATAGTAGTGAAATTCGACTCGCATACTGTGTGATGCCAGCGCAGGTAAAATAAGCCAAGATCGTGTTGTTAAATTTCACTACACAGGCGAAAAGTTGCATGCATCTTTTTGCGACCGGTATCAAGTTTTGTTTTGCGTCGTTTCATGGAGCCACAAACTTTGCTGCCCGCAACGGTCGGCGGGTTGGTGGCAGCGATTGCCAACGCAATTGGCAGCGACATTACCGTAGCCCAAATAGAGCCAAATTTGCTTGTCCCCAAGATCAGCATGGAGCATGGAATTATTGGGAATTTTTGTTTTTAGGCTTTTCTGATCTGAATAAACTTAATTTTCACAGCATGACCATTTTTTTGGACTCTTCGATTTTTCGGACTATTTCGCTGTCCACGTCAAGTCCAAAAAATCGGTTGGCAACTGTATGTCAAGTTTGTCTCCTACTGTTACTTTGTTACATATAGGTCACAAATACATGTGCTTGTATCCAGCAACAACGGGAAATAGAAAAACTTTGTTATATAGATGAATTCATTATACGGAGGTTCGTTATAAGCATGTTCATCTGTATATTATTTAAATCCTTGTGATGAGGCTACAGCTACCGCAAAAAACAACAGAGATCATAAGAGATAGCAATATTAGGACCTCGTATAAACAAAATTAGAAAAAAAAAAACCAGAAGGAAAACTGTTTCGTCATTAAGTGTCAAAAGCAACTTCTTACTTTGTGAACAAGGCTCCCCTCCCCTGTAGGGAGCTGAAACGTCTTTTAAAATTTTGTGTATTGTCCCTCAGTCGGCATTTTTGTTATTTTGCATCATGTTTGTACGCGACCAGATGGGATTCCGTCGAACTTTTGACTATAGATCACTCCCTTACTACACAAAAAACAGAATCGTGTCTCACTACTCCTGCAATGATATAAAGCATAGCCAATTCCCACCAAAGTAAAAAAACAGAAACTACACAGCTAGGCAATATGGCGGCGACCATGAACAAAAAAGTCTATACCAAAGGTCCAGAAATTATTCGGTGTATTTTACGTCCAATCTGGTAAAACTAAACAAAGTTGTGTAGCTTTTCATGCCTATTTAAAATACTGTATTCACTCGCATAATCCTCGCGCTAGCATAATTCTCGCACCCCCCCCCCCCCCCCCCCATCGCCCAACAAAAATATGATTTTTTTTTCCTCGAGTAATTATCACACCCCCGAAAATCGCCGCAATAATTCGTCTGCTCGTTCCAGCCGTTGATGATGATAGTGCAGGCCATCTGGTGCCATCTCTTAAGCATCAAGCGCACTATTATTGCACGGAAATTCAATCCAAGCCAAGCCAAGCCAAAGCGGCAAGTGCACGTTTCGGCGTGTTTTGTATGTTGTGTCGGTAATCTTGTGACGTTATGGGGCGATACTGAAGCTACACGGCTGCTTTCAAGTTGAAAGTGATTGACCATGCACTAAACAACGGCAACAGGGCCGCTGGTAGGCCCTTCAGAGTCGACGAGTTTTGTGTTCGCTACTGGTTACGGCAGCTGAAAGCCACCAAGACGCATTGGGCCTGCCGTGTGCTTAAGACTGGGATTGATGGTAAACTTTATTTCTTCAGAAGGAAAATGCGGACGATTCTGTTAAACAGCCATCAGCCCAACACTGACATCCTACGCTCACTTTTTGAGGGCTCCTGTTGAGCGAAGAGCGCTACCGCTACGCCCGCAACGCCCACAAGCTTTGCGTATGGTATTTCAATTCTCGACTCTGTGATTGCACTTTTTGTGTCTCAAATAAATCTTGCCTTGTGTTGAACCTCTGCTTTTATTGTTTAGGTAAATTTTAATTAGTACTTATCAAAGCTTGCTGTTAGTTGCTGGTGTGAGAATCCCAATTCGCGGCCACTTCGTTTCCTTTTCCGCTCTGTGCGTTTTCATGGAAAGTTTTCCCCGCATAATTCTCGCACCCCCCAACCTTGCATCCGTTTTCTGCCAACAAAAGTGCGAGGATTATGCTAGTAAATACCGCATACAATAATTTTTCCTGTAGCTAAATAAGTGAACAGAATACACGAAGCCCCTTCTCTATTGTTTCCGGATACAAGAGGAAAAAAAAACTGTTTTGCAGACAGTAGATATTGTCAGATAGCTAGATACTACAATATGCAAAGTGCAATACCACAAACAGTTTTCAGATCAAGTCCTAACTAGTCATTCTGCAGATGATCAAAATGTAATGTTTGTATCATAGCTACCATAAAAAAAGAACAAAATTAAATTTAGAAATCCTATGAGCACGAAGTGAGAATCCAGTTCTCAGTACATCACAATAGAGAGCTTGGGCATTATTACAGCTCTAGCTATTCAAAACTACGAGGTATCACTCCTGGAAGATAAATACGCGGCCGAAAAACTCTTATATTTCCGCTCATACTCGTTCCACAGGATGAAATACCGATTTTATAGCTGGGTTTTACATGCAAAATGAAAGCTGTAGATGTCAATTAAACTTTTTTCTTTGATGATTTCTTGGTCTCAATCCTTAAGCTACATTCGGGTTAGAGGCGACACGCTGTAATATGGCCTTCACTTCCCTTTGGAGAATCATGGGTAAAGTAACAGCGTCACAAACTAATGGCGGCAACTGCTGGCTGGAACAAAGTCAACCCTTCCAAAAAAAACCGCTAAAAAGAATACATACACTGTGTCCACGGTCAAGCTCTTCCTTGCGCTTCGCCAGCTTTTCCTTCTGGTCAGAAAAATTGATGAACTGGTCCAAGGCCTTCTTGTTTACATGGCTGTATTTCTTTAGCTCATGGTTACATTGCTCAAGTTTCTTGAACAACTGCAAGAAATGATCATGCCCATTTTTCAGACGTGCAGCCATTGCCAACACAAAGACTTGTCATGTCAAAGTGGTGAAAATCTATTTTTCCTCAAAATATAAAAGTTCTCCTTCAATGAGCAAACCAATTATATAAAGCCTACACACAACAATGAGAAGCACATAAGTAATATCAAAGGCAGTGTTATTTTGTAACCGCGCCTACTGCCATGTTTGATATGCTAACGATGATTTCAAGGAAATTCAAATTTTGGCACTCCCTGCGCACTTCTCCACAGCTAACACTATCCAAAGAGTAAAAGAGCACGTTTTCTATCAGTTTCACATGCAACTTTTCTTTTTCCATAGTAGGGAAATTTTTAGAGCTCATTTGCCATCTGGGAGATGAGTACTAATGGTTTTGATTATGACGTCAAGATCCCTTGTGGGTGCTCCCTTATAACAGCAAATTTCGACGAATTTCGATTAATCTGAGCATCAATTTCTTGATGATGGTAGCAGGACAGACACAGTTGACAACTTAAACATTACAGTATGGACTGCCTCAAACACATTACCCTGACGAGTCAACACAGTTCCACTGAGTTTGTGAACTCAGCATCCTGCATGCAACCTAAATTGTAAAAATCACTATCCGCCCAGTGGATGAGAACTAAGTCCTCACTGTTTACGTGCGTCACGAACGGATGACAAATAGGTCGCTAGTATTTCGAAAGTTGCTGTCTTCCCATGATGTCCCACTATGATTACACGTTACCGAGAAGCAGCCTCTCGATATTGAAACCTCATATATGTTTTAAGTAGTAGTATTAAAGGGACAATAATAAGAAAAAAATAATACGCACTTCGTGCGTATTACTAAATTTAAAAACACCCCTCTCACCGTAAGATGGCACACCGAACACCAAACATCAAGCCAGTGTCGTGAAAACAAGAAAAAAAATTGGTAGATCCAACGTACAGTGAGAATTGATGATATAAGAAGCCTGAATGAGGAAGGTTGAATTGTCACAATAAAATCAGCACTTACAAGACGAACACAAATTATGCCATACATGACTTCCATGTTAAGATCATCATGTTTGCACCTGGCATTTGTGCTTGTCGTCCATTCACGTAACGTAATACAAAATTTAGTATGTGAAGCTAGCAAACCAGCCGTGAGTGCGCTATGAGCGTAGCATGTAGTCATGTGTCATTTACTTTCGTTGTCTATCACATCACATGTTACCAAATTTCGTACATGTGAAGCTAGAGAAACAGCAGCGAGCGCATCATGAGCAGGGTATAGAGTCATGTTGTTACATGAAATGCATATCTTGATTATTATGTTTGCACCAGTCATATACCTTCGTCATCCACTCACGTCACGTAACGCCGAATGTGGTATATGTGAAGCTAGCGAAATGACCACAAGCGGCCTTTAAGCATGACATGAGTCATGTTTCTACAAGACACACATGTCATGATTATCATGTTTGCATCAGTCCTATACCTTCATCATCCATTCATGTCATGTAATACCAAATTTGGTATATGTGAAGCTAGCGAAACCACCGCGAGCGCATCATGAGCACAGAGGTGAGTCATGTTTCATGTCACACATATCATGATTACCGTATTTACTCGCATAATTTGCGCACTATTTTTTTTCGCAATTTGGGGGCTCTGAGGAGGGGGTGCGAAATACACGAGGATTTCGCAGACGTATATGACAATGTGCGATAGACTTAACGCACGCAGTATATACATTCAAATATTAAATTGAAAAACAAACAAAGTATAATTGTTAATTACACAGAATTAGCACGTACTTTAACCAGTCAGAGCCGGTTAGACGCAGTCTAGTCGGGATCACTAACGGAAAGTTCGAAGTGAAAATCATCGGCGCGGCGACTGTTACCACCCTCCCAAAGCGCATCGTCATCGGTTCTGTAAAGCGTGTTCGAATGCCCTATTTCTTTTATCTCCACAATGCTGGGACAAACTAGGTCTCACGACATGGCAATACCAAAGGACCTAAGCCTTCACATATACTGAGAGGCCTTTTTCAACGCCAGATAACGCACATTAGCAAGCGTGCACTCTGCTTTCTACTGTACCGATCGCGCTGATTGTCACGCGTTGAAGTTCACGCCAAAGTGCTTGGTGGCGGCACAGTTCCAGTTTTCTTCGGCAAACATCATAGCAGCAAGCTTAAATTTTGCCGTGTATATATATATATATATATATATATATATATATATATATATATATATATATATATATATATATATATATATATATATATAATTACTATAGGTCATTGCAAGACAACAGTAAAAACGTGATGAACGAATGTGGCGAAACCCAAACTTCCGAAATCAAGTAAGCGTGCGTTGCAGCGTGGGCGCACAGAACAAAAAGGAACAGTTGGCGCGACCAGCGCGTGCACGCCTCCGATGCAGAAAGTTGTCCATGCCGTGACGCGAGCGTACATTCTCATGGTAGAGATCATAGAGATTTGGGGGCAGTTCCGGCGGGTACGGTGTTCTAGGGACCCTAGTTCGGGGCAAGTCCTCGGAAGAAGGGGCTTCGCACTCGCGGCCCATTTGATTGCGTTTGTCTGCTCAGCGAGGCACGCGCCCGATGCGCCTGGGCAAGGCATCAAAACATCCACAGGCTCTCCGTACACACGCCGGGGAGCTGGCTCGGGCGGGTCGGGGAGCGTAAAATATGCGAGTAATCTTCTTTTTGTCATCATCATCATCATCATCAACAGCCTGACTACGTCCACTGCAGGACAAAGGCCTCTCCCATGTTCCGCCAGATAACCCGGTCCTGTGCTTGCTGCTGCCAATTTATACCCGCAAACTTCTTAATCTCATCTGCCCACCTAACCTTCTGTCTCCCCCTAACCCGCTTCCCTTCTCTGGGAATCCAGTCAGTTACCCTTAATGACCAGCGGTTATCCTGTCTACGCGCTACATGCCCTGCCCATGTCCATTTCTTCTTCTTGATTTCAGCTATGATATCCTTAACCCCCGTTTGTTCCCTAATCCACTCTGCTCTCTTCTTGTCTCTTAAAGTTACACCTACCATTTTTCTTTCCATTGCTCGCTGCGTCGTCCTCAATTTAAGCTGAACCCTCTTTGTAAGTCTCCAGGTTTCTGCTCCGTAGCTAAGTACCGGCAAGATACAGCTGTTATATACCTTCCTCTTGAGGGATAGTGGCAATCTACCTGTCATAATTTGAGAGTGCTTGCCGAATGTGCTCCACACCATTCTTATTCTTCTAGTTACTTCAATCTCGTGGTTCGGCTCTGCGGTTATTACCTGCCCTACGTAGACATAGTCTTTTACAACTTCAAGTGCACTATTACCTATCTCGAAGCGCTGCTCCTTGCAGAGGTTGTTGTACATTACTTTCGTTTTCTGCAGATTAATTTTAAGACCCACCTTTCTGCTCTCCTTGTCCAACTCCGTAATCAAGAGTTGCAATTCGTCCCCTGAGTTACACAGCAATGCAATGTCATCGGCGAAGCGCAGGTTACTAAAGTATTTTCCATTAACTCTTATCCATAACTGTTCCCATTCTAGGCTTTTGAAAACCTCCTGTAAGCACGCGGTAAATAGCATTGGAGAGATTGTGTCCCCCGGCCTTACACCCTTCTTGATTGGTATTCTGTTGCTTTCTTTATGAAGCACTATAGTAGCAGTTGATCCCCTGTAGATTTCTTCCAGAATGTTTATATATACTTCATCTACGCCCTGATTCCGCAGTGTTTGCGTGACGGCTGATATTTCTACTGAATCAAACGCCTTCTCGTAATCTATGAAGGCTATGTATAGTGGTTGGTTATACTCTAGGCATTTCTCTATTACCTGATTGATAGTATGAATGTGGTCAATTGTTGAGTATATAGCCTGTTTGAAATCCTGCTTGTTCCTTTGGTTGATTGAATTCTAATGTTTCCTTTACTCTGTTAGCAATTACCTTTGTAAATAGCTTGTACACTACAGAGAGCAAGCTGATCGGCCTGTAATTCTTCAAGTCCTTGTCATCTCCTTTCTTATGTATTAAGATGATGTTAGCGTTCTTCCAAGACTCTGGTACTCTTCCCATCAGGAGACACCTCGTAAACAGGGTGGCTAGTTTTTCTAACACAATCTGTCCTCCATCTTTCAGCAGATCTGATGTTACCTGATCGTCACCAGCAGCTTTGCCTCTTTGCATGCTCTCCAAAGCTTTTCTGACTTCTTCTATCACTACTGGTGGTGTGTAATCTGGGTTACTGCTAGTTGTTATAGTATTAAGGTCGTGGATGTCCATGTCCTTGCTACTGTACAGATCTCTGTAAAACTCCTCCGCTATTTTAACTATCCTATCCATATTGGTAGTTATTTTGCCTTCTTTGTCGCTTAGTGCATACATCCGACTTTTGCCTATCCCAAGTTTCCTCTTCAATGCTTTGACACTTCCTCCGTTTTTTAGAGCGTGTTCAATTCTCTCCATGTTATACCTTCTTACATAGCATACCTTACGTCCTTCTTTTTGTAAAGCTAGCAAAATATTAGGGGTGCACAAGTTATGCGAGTAAATACGGTATCATGTTTGCATCAGTCGTGATCCATTCTTGTCACGTAACACTGAATTTGATATGTGTGAAGCTGGCCAAACGACCGTGAGTGCATCATGAGCGTGGCACTTAGTCATATTCTTACGTGACGTGCATGTCATTTTCATCATATTTGCATCAGTCACATACCTTCGTCATCCATTCACATCACGTAATACTAAACTTGGTACATATGTGGAGCTTGCAAAATGACCGCGAGCGCATCATGAGCGTGGAATGTAGTCATGTTCTTACATGAAATTAATGTCATGATTACGATGTTTGTTTATACAGTATACACCACTTATAACGTAACTCGAGGAAGTCGCGAATATCCGCACTATAAGCAGTACCACACTACAACCAAAACAACCTTTTCCAAGGGCTGCACTTGCACGAAAT